TATTAGGAGTAGGACATGTCAGAAGAGTACTATGAACGAGATCTAGGCTAGGTTCCGCAAAGTTTCGGCTTTTACAAACTGCGATCTTGAATTTTTTTTTGCGAAATGGAGTAAAGATGCGATTTTCAGAAAAGAACGAATCCAGTTTCTGAGAATATAACAACCTCCGAATATGCCTAACGCAATATTGGTAGGCTTCGCAAGATTTCGACTTTCCCAAAAAAATTGCGAGATAGAATGGAAATTCGATTTTCAGAAAAGAATAATTTCAGTTTCCGAGAATATGACCACTTCTATCGTTATCCCAATATGCCTAGAGAACGAAATACTAACTTCAGAAATTTCAGCTATGTATGCGAAATATCAGAGAACGAAAAACTACTATCGGAATTTTCAGACAAAACGAATTGCGATTTATCAGAATTTTTCAGATATTTGTCACGTAAAAACAAACTACTAATATCAGAAATTTTTAGATAGAACGAAATGCGAATATCAGAAATTTCAGATAGATGTTGCGAGAAAAAAAAAAATTCAGAGATTTGACTGAGTCCTACTTGCATTACTAATGAGTGATCAATAGATCGCAAGCTGGCTACTTGATTGAGCGGGTCCTCTGAATGAGAGGTCCGCTCCGATACCAAACTGTTGCATACTGTAACGTGCAGACCAAAACAAGAACTGACCTTTCAATACAAAGTATAAGATAGCACAACGGAAGACGTAGATACCAGTGATCCGAACAATCAATGTTGCAATGCAGCCCTGAACATACATCATCATTATCGTTACATGGTGTGAATGGGGCCTGGCGCTTCATACAGGAAGACTGCGCCAGCCCATACCATACACAAACGAAGAGGAAGGGGATAGACGAAGAGGAGGGGGAAGATGGGAATGTCGTCAACACCAAGTCTTCGGCACAAGCCCAAATAGTCCCTCGTCGAAATGTCTGAATCCCAAATGTCAAGTCTGGATCCAATGTCGTCAAGTCTCAAGTCAAGACTTTGTCTCTCTCTGTCGTAGTCTGAGAAGTCAGGTGGCGAGAGGGTGAGAAGAGAAGGTGGACTTAGAAGAGGAAGAAGAAGAACTCTCTCTCTCTCTATGTGTCCAGTACTAACCTGTGAAGTTGGCGCCTTGATGCAGGTACCACGAAGATGGAGCTGGAGCGATGGTGCCACAGGTAAGTACCACTGGCCTCCGCCAGTCTCTCTCCCACTCTAAGATCTACCACTTACCAGCGCCCAGCGCTGAAGACTACAACTACAGCTATGGCGCCCAGCGCCAAAGACTATAGCTAGCGGTAATACCACCTAGCGTTGAAGACTACTACAGCGCTCCTCCTGAGTGCTGCGGCCGAAATCCTGAAGACTACCTCGTGCCTACTGAACTACCTACCTGTGAAGTGCCTAGGACAGTCCTATGTACTACCGAGGTGCCTCCTGACTGCAGGCGAGCAGTTCAGGAGGCTGCTCTTGCCAATGTCGATCGGAGGCAGGGGCTGCCGCTGCAGCTCCTACTCAAACTCGAGGAACAGGCTATTCTTGGCCTGTTCCGCATCCCTGTTTACGTGCCTGAGACTTAGGGGCAGGTCGAAACAATGAGGGCCTGAAATGACCCTCCATTTCAGGCTGGAAAGACTCTGGGTCAGGCTGAAACGGAGTAGGGCCTGCAGACCCTCGTTTTTCAACTTTCAGGCTGAAACGAACGGGGCTGGTAAGCCCTAAGTTTTAGGCTTTTAGGCTGAATGTCCGGGACGGGCCCTGCAGGGCCCGTGTGGCTACGCAGTATGCCACAGGAAGGCTTCTGTCATCAATGACCTGTCAGTCTTGTGCAGGGGCCATGCTAATCAATTTTTTTTTTTATAATCAATCTTTTTTGTCTCGTTCCCAATTGAACGAAGTTCCTGGGCCTGACCGAGTCCCACTAGCAAAGAGAATTGGATTAAACGCCTGAATCTGGACGTGATTGTGGAGAGCTGCCGAGAATGGAGATTGATCTGATGTTCTGCATTTTTGCAAAAGACACGTCCAGATTCAGGCATTTCTCCTACCCTCTTTACTACCGTCTTCACCCGAATAGAACGCCGGGTCATTAAAGCTGCATGTGGGCCACGCCCGATCATTAAAGCTGCATGTGGGCCACACCTGGTCATTAAAGTTGCATGTGGTCCAATTGGTAGTGCTGGTGCGGCGATAATGACCGGGCATTCTATTCGGGTGAAGACGGTAGCAGGACTTAGCTTATTCGGGTGAAGATGGTAGCAGAACTTAGCCCCTGAAGGAAGGACGTAGCACAATTGTACGCTAACCAACGGGAGGGATAGTCGTAGATTTTATGAACTTAACGAAGAAAAATAAAATAGGGATAATTTGTAAAATACCCCCATAAGTTGAGAAATATGCCAAAATACCCCTAACAGGTGTGGGTATAGCGGACTGCCCCTCCGAAAATGTTTTTTTTTTTGTGAAATACCCCTACCTGAAGGCAAAAACGACGTACAGGATGTTGAGGACCAGAAGGCACCTTCGGGATGTGGTGGAGGACAGGTGGCAGCACCAGCTTAAAGTAGACAGGGGCTTGCTAAGATCGATCCGATGGTTCCAAAACTATAAGCTGAGACCAGCCAAAATCTCATCATTACAATGGCAAATAGCACACCTTTGCCTACCCAGAAATGATTGACTGATTGACCATACTGGCTG